ATGACTCTGGGAAAAGGTGCTGTTATAATCCCATTTTACAGTAAATCAACCAAAGATACACACATCTGGTAATGGAAGGGCGAGGAGTTTGTTTTCTTCTCGGCACACTTTTTTGAGAGGGCGAAGAGGGAGGAGGGGTGTCTGATTCCCCTCACTCAACTATGAGCCCTACGAGGGCAGCATNCATTTTACAGTAAATCAACCAAAGATACACACATCTGGTAATGGAAGGGCGAGGAGTTTGTTTTCTTCTCGGCACACTTTTTTGAGAGGGCGAAGAGGGAGGAGGGGTGTCTGATTCCCCTCACTCAACTATGAGCCCTACGAGGGCAGCATCTTGTGTGATCTGGACCTACAGTCCCCAGCAAAGTCTTTGGCCCTCAGTAGGTGCTGACAGGGGTTTAATGGAATTGAATGAAGGCAGGCAGGAAGCAGGACAGTGTTATCTAGTGGTTAGAATGTTGGCATTGCAGTTTGATTTCCAACCATTCAACAGATAACCGTCGTGCCGCTTCTATAGTCCAGAACAAGAAGGGACCTGTTGGAGCTGACCTGTGCTCGCCCATGAGAGCTGACTGTTTTTCAGGAATTTTGCAAGCTGGTTGTCAGAGCCATTAAACAGGATGGAATTAATATCAACTTACATTTAAATAAATTATATCTTTAAAAAGGTAATAAAACTCATCAGTTCAGTCCAGTTCAGTTGCTGTCATGTCCGACTCTTTGTGACTCCATGAACCGCAGCATACCAGGCCTCCCTGTCCATCACCAACTCCCCACTTCCTAATTATTTTACTAGCATTTCTGTTCTGAAGGTTATTTATGCCTATTTCAGGGGTCGCCAAACTTCTTCTGTAAAAGGGCCAGATAGAAATATCTTAGGCTTTGCGAGCCCTGAGCTGAGACCCCTCCGCCCCTGTTTCGTGTCCCCCGGAATGTTGTATCTGTAGGGTGGAAACACTCTGCAATGGGGTACATCTCTTCCCAACTCTCCACGTTCAGCAAGGCCTGCTGATAACCTGAAGATGGCCGTGGTGGGAATATTTCCACTAGGGAGATTGTCGAATGCTGTAAAGCAGCACTCCGCCGCCCCCCACCCCCACAAGCTGATGCTTGAACATTCACCAGCACACCGCTGGACACAGTGATGGGCAGAACTGGAACAGATCCTGCCCTCTTGGAGGATACAGTGTATTGGGTTTGTGAAGCATTTCGTGGAGAGGGGAGGAGGGAACTGGGCAAAGGACCTATGGGCGTGTGGTAGGTAGAAGCAGATGCCTAGGTGGCCCTCTCCCAGGGCTAGTCATCAACTCTCGTGCTCTCCTCCCCACTGGGGACTTTGCCACTTCCTCATGTCCCTTTGTGGGCTGCCAGGGCAGCAGGTCTGTCTTTCCCCTCTGAGTTGGCTCCAGGGGGTGACCTGAGGGACCTCAGGGTTGAGCTGCGAGCTGTTTCCTGCCCGCTCACTACATGCCCCCAGCATCTAGCAAGGAGTAGCATCTTCACCAACATGGCCCCGAGTGAACCCGTGGTATGCTGTCGATCCAAGTGGAAGAGGAACTTGTAGTGAGCCGGTGAGAGCAGAATGTTGCTCTTTGGGACAGGCTCAAACGAGGAGGGGCTGCCAGCAAAGATCGGAGAACATGGAAGCTTTGTCTGGTGATCTTTGTGAGTCAACCGGCCTGTGAGCCCTAGGAGAGTAATGGGGTCATGACCTTGCCTGTCATTCCTACTGCTCCATGACCCTTTCAGGTTTGATGCCAGGAGGGTGACCTCTAAGGGACTTGCACTACTGCTGGCAGAATCTGGACTCCTGTGACACCGAGGATGACCTGGGTACCTGAGGCACTGGTGGAAACTCAGTGGGCTTGTGTCTCCTACAGAGGTTGAGGGGCTGCAGGGAGGGGGCTTCTGATGGAATCTGACAGCTGGACTTACTCATTTTTAGGTCAAGAACCCAGGCTATTGGGAGGCGAGGGACTCTGTGTATCACTGAGTATAAGCCAACCCATCTCCTCGCAGCCTCGCTCACTGACCTCGGTCTATGGCCTAAGCAACAGGGCACAGGTGAGTTTGACCACAGGTCACTGTGTATTTGCTCGCAAGCACGAGGGCTACTGTTGACCATGAACTCCTGCTTTCAGTTTCCAGGGAACTTCTTAAGAGTATCTTGTAGGCTCCATGTCACTGTCAAACTCAAACCAAGAAATATTATTGAAAGATATATTGATCAAATTCAACACTTTTCTTCCTGAGCCTCAGAAAACATTACAAAAGGAGTGGGAAAAACATGGTCAAACAGAATTTTGGGTCAAAATCTTGGCTAAGATCCTCATGTTTGTCTAAACCTCAATTTCCTCATCCTTAAGATGGGGATGGTAATTTCTATCTTCTGGGTTGGTTGAGAGGAAGAAAAGAGAACAAATATATAACACCTCCAGCATAGTACCTGGCACTTTATCATGCTGTTTCTATTCAATGCTTACAGATCAAGCACCGTATCAAGCAGTGCTGAGGAGGTCTGGATGAAATCTTAAACTGCATCCTGGTAAATCTCATTCTGCTGAAGTTCTGCCCCCTGAACGGGGAGAGGAGGGTCCACAGATGTCTGCCATTGAGCCTCCCCATTCATGATTTCCTGTTGCACCCCATCACCTCCATCCTGGGTACCTTCGGCAGCCTCTCCACTGGCCTCCCTGCCTCCAGGCTGCTGCTTTGCAAACCTTGCCCATGTCGTGCTGTGTGTGGCCAGTGGCCTGGATGGAGGTGACATCTACAAGTCACTCCCCTGGATGGCCCGTGTGGTGGCGTCCCACTGCTCTCAGGGGAGAGTCTGGTCTGTGGGCCTGCACTTCAGGGCACTGCTTGGTCTACCCCTGCTCACCTCTAGGGCCTTTGCCCTGCACCCCCCAGGCTCTCTGTATGCCGTGGCAAAATGCCTGCCATTTCCTGCACGGGTTGAGGGTCTTCCCTGCTTCCAGGAGCAGCTTTCCCTGATTCCTAATGACCACCTGGAGTCAGGACATGTCCACAGTGCCACAGCACATACCTGCAAACCTCTCCCCACCACCCCCCATTCCTGTAGTGCCATGAGCAGTATGGTCATTGTCTTTACATGGCCTTAGATGCTGAGCTTCGCACCTGGGCCAGGTCCTGATGAGCCACATGAGGCTGGCAGCCTCTCTGTATCCTTACCTGCAGGAGGGGATGGTGATGGGTCAACCCTGTGTCACAGTGTTGCTGTGAGAAAGAAAAGCTGTGTGCGTGCTTAGGACACTGGGAATTATTCCTGCAATTGGCAAATAGCAGCTCAATAAAGGTCTGAACAACAGATTTAACCCCTTTAAATGGGCTTCCCAGGTGGTAAAGAACCCGCCTGCCAATGCAGGAGATGTAAGAGACGTGGGTTCGATTCCTGGGTCGGGAAGATTTCCTGGAGGAGGGCATGGTAACCCACTCCAGTATTCTGGCCTGGAAAAATCCAGGGACAGAGAGGAGCTTGGCAGGCTACAGCCCAGGGGGTCGCAAAGAGTCAGACAGGACTGAAGCCACTGAGCACACACAAACCCTCTTAAAGCTACGGCCTGGGGCTGTGTCATCAGTTAGGGGCTCCGGCTTGACTCCTTGTTTGATGGTTTTCTTAAGGCTGCTGAAGTTCAGAACCTGAAGAAGAGAATTTGCCAGCAGGTTGTAGGGAGTCAGTGAATTCCCCATTTCCCCACCTCATTTGCCTCCCCAGGGCTCACGAGGGAACAGCTCTGTGCATCTATCTCCTGGGCAGCCTGCAGCTGTCTTCTCTGCGGAGGGACACACATCCGGCCCTGACTTCCACCCGGGTCCCAGCCCTGGCCAGGCTTGGGTGAGAGTCTTTTGGGGAGCCCTAATCTTGTGTGTTCTGGAGTGCAGGGGAGGGGAAAATCCCCACTGAAGGGCTGCTGTGGACAGACTTTGGCATTTATGATGCAATTAAACACATGCTGACACACCTGTGTGTCCACTTGCAGAGGCACCTTCACTAAACAAAAAGGCACAGATTGGGGGTTTTAATGCTGTTGACTGTAGAAGGGTGTGGATGCGAGGAACCCACCCCAGAGCTGAGCACTGGCTACCTCTCCCGATGGCACAAAGGGACCGTTTCTTGTTGCACAGCTGGAGTGCCCCTGTGACCTGGCAGTTCCTTCCCCGAGGGTGCATCCAACATGGTTCTCTCACAGCCCTGCAGGGCCTGGGGATGCAGAGAGAAATGACCCGGACTGAAGGGGAGGCGAAAAGAGGTCAGGGCCTCTGGGGTGCAGGCAGAGGGGGCGCCCATAACGCTGGAGAGGGATTCTGTATCTAGGTTCCTATTAGGAACTGATCAGACTCCAGGAGAAGGAAAGCGAGGGGGGATGGTGGCTGGGGAGCCTGTCCCCTCCCCGGAGAAGCTTGAGGACCCCAAGGGCAGACAGACATCTGTAAATGACCAGGAGCCCCGTGGAGTCCGACTGGTTGAGCCAGGGCTTGTGTGGCTCATTATTCGGACACTTGACGGGACATTTGCAATTCGAGGGAGTATCTGTGTCCCTTGGCCATCATCCAGGTGGGTGACCAGAGCTGAGCGGGGGTGGAGGGTCACCTGGCCATCCAGGTGGGTGGTCAGAGCTGGGTGAGGGTGGAGGGTCAGCTGGCCATCCAGGTGGGCGGCCAGAGCTGGGCGGGGGTGGAGGGTCACCTGGCCATCCAGGTGGATGGTCAGAGCTGGGTGAGGGTGGAGGGTCAGCTGGCCATCCAGGTGGGCGGCCAGAGCTGGGCGGGGGTGGAGGGTCACCTGGCCATCCAGGTGGATGGTCAGAGCTGGGTGAGGGTGGAGGGTCAGCTGGCCATCCAGGTGGGCGGCCAGAGCTGGGCNGGCCCCGCCCCTGCGGGGCGCCCCCAGCCCCGCGCCCGCCGCCTTCCCGGGGGCTGGGGGGGTGCGGGCCGCCGCCCGGGGGGCCCCGCCGCCCCGGCAGCCCGGGCCAGCCCCTCTCCCCGCTTCCCTCCGGCCCGGCCATGGATCTGACCAGCAGCTCGGGCGGCGGCGACCCTCGGCAGATCGAGGAGACCAAGCCGCTGCTGGGGGGCGACGTGCCGGCCCCCGAGGGCACGAAGATGGGCGCCGTGCCCTGCCGCCGGGCCCTGCTGCTGTGCAACGGGATGAGGTACAAGCTGCTGCAGGAGGGCGACATCCAGGTCTGTGTCATCCGGCACCCGCGGACCTTTCTCAGCAAGATCCTCACCTCGAAATTCCTGAGGCGCTGGGAGCCGCACCACCTAACGCTGGCCGACAACAGCCTGGCGTCCGCCACGGTGAGTCGCTCTGCGCGTCGGCGCGCCCGCACCCCCGCGCCTCCCCTCGGGGCCCGGGAGGCGCCCCCTCCCACCGGCCGCTGCACCTGGAGCTCGGGGCCTGCCCGGCGCAGGGGGGGTGGTGGTGGGGGCACCGGGAGAACCGGGCACCCCTTTCCCCGGCTGGGCTCCCTGCTGCATTGTGGATTCTGGCGGGCCCCGGGAGACCCTGGAATTCTGGAGAGGATCTGGCCCTGTCCCCAGACTGAGCATTCGGGCACCTCCGGGCCCAGCGCTTGTGTTCCTTACGGCTGGGACCTTGGGATAGACCCGAGGCTGGGCCACGATGGTGGTGAGGGTTCCCTTTCTGAAGGCACATCTGGATCTGCGCCGGAGGGGAAAACAAAACAATTAAAAAAAAAGAAAAAGAAAAAAGCCCCAACAACCTCAAAAACCCAAAACCCAAAAAATTTCCAGAAGCCAGTTCCTTTCTTTGCTCTACCCGTCTTTTTCCTGCCGGGGCTGGCAGGCAAAACTGGGTGCTTCCCTTTCTGAGGAAAAAAAACACCTCGTTGGCAACACCGGGAGGGTGGAAGTGGAGGGGGAGGGGCGGGGGTCCCGGGTTATCTCCTCCCCACCGAGGACGGTCAAGTTTCCCTGCGGAAGCTGGCTTGTGGGCTCTGGTGTTGCATTGTCTGTGTAGTATTTTGTACGTGTGTTTTGTTGCTGGAGGTTGTATTTATGTTATTGTTTTAAAATGTATGGTTGGGACTGGGTCACCCTGATGAGAGGGAGAGAAGTCGGGGATGGGTTTCTGAAATCAAATCTGCAAGGTGGAGAGAGAGGGCTGTGGTGGGGTCGCTGCGGGGGAGGGTAGCAGGCAGGAGGTGAACAGGATGCTTTGTGTTTTGAAACAAGGACAGTTTAAAGCACCAGTTCTGCTTGGGCCCGAGCCTTGCTGGGTGCAGGGTGGTGTGTGGTGGGGGGTGTTCCATCCTCTCTGGAGAGGTGGCAGGTCTTCCCCAGAATGCAGTCTTCCCTGGGGTAACCGTGATGCTGTTTACTAAGCCTGCGGGGTGGTGGGGGTGTGCTGAATCCAATGCCTGCCCACACCTGTGCCAAGAAAACCCAGCCAGGAAGCAGGGTGTCACTTACACGACATGTCACAGACGTGTAGTGTGTGCAGACGTCCCCCCGGCGTCCATGTTCCCTTGGCAGTGTGTCACAGGCCATGACACATGCTCCAAGGAATGGGGAGGGGGAAAAGTTAGCAGAAGAAACCATACTCCTTGAAACTGCTCCCCCCCCACCACTTCCCGAGAGCATTGAAACACATGAGGACTCTTATTCTGAATTTTGGGTCCGACGTGCTCAGAACACCTATTTTTTCTTTCCTGTGGGCACGCTGGTGCAATCTGCAATGACCGCCTTCTCGGGGAGGATCCTGGGTTGCCGTGAAGCCTTACAGCCCCAGTTTCAGGCTCGCGCACGTTCTCAAACCCCGTCCTGAGCCCCAGGCCGCGGCATTTGGCTTTTCATTTGACGAAGGGGGAGCCTCAGAAAACCCGCCAGCACACAGCGTTTTAGATTCAGCCCTTAGTGGTCCCCTGCCTGGAAGCCGCAGCCTCCAAATCTGGCTTCAGAATTTCCCCCTGGCTGGCAGGGGGTGGGGGGGGGTGGTCAGAGTGGGGGACTTTTATCTTTCTTTCTGCCACCCCTTATCATGAAGGGGAGCTGGGGAAGAGAAAGCGGCTGGGAGGCACAGTGGCACTCCGTGGGAAGGACCGGCCCAGCTCCTGTGGCCCCCTGGAGGAAGCCGGGCGCTGTTCTGTGCTGCCCCGCGGTTGGGGTGAGCCAGCTTGGGAAGCTCAGGGTGCCCCTCCCCCTCCCTGCCCTCCCCCAGTTTACCTCTGATTGCTCAAGAGGTGTGTTTTGTGGAGAGAGAGAGAGAGAGAGGGGAGGAGGCAAGGGTGAAGCCACTTGCGCTAGACTTCTCTAGCAGCCAGGGTGCCCTCACAGACCCCCCCCGCCCCCCGCCTCTGCCACCGCACCACCTTCCCCAGCTGAGGTGGATGGCACCTTCCCCTGCCCAGGCCCCTCCAGAGAAGAGCCGTGATTTTCTGGGCCTGGGGGCCAGGGGTCAGATGCGGCTCAGCAGAACCTTGCCCTGGCGTTGGGGCAAGGGGGGAGCTCCGGGCTGGTGTGCCATGGGCTGCCCCCCTTCTTCCCCTGTGAGCAGGCCCTGCTGGCAGGGGAGGGCTGTCCCTTACTTTTGCCATGGTGGGCTCCAGGGGGGTGCACGGGTCTCTGTGTGCCAAGGCTCGCAGGCACTGAGTGGGGCTGCTGAGGCAGGCCCGGCCACGGCGGCGGCCTCCAGGGCAGAGGTGGGGTTGACAGGCACCGTATCCCATCACCAGACACCTGGCCAGGGGTGGTGTCCAGGCCCCGGGGAGGGAACGCAGCCCCCGGGGTTTCCCTGAGGCCCTGGGCGTTATGTAATCTGTCTGCGTTTTAGAGCACGGCCCTAGCCCTCGATTGAGAAACGTTAGCCCAAGTGAAACAAAGGTGAACTTGAGTGTAGTTCACTATGGTGGTGGAAAGCCCCGTGCGGCCCAGCCTCGAGCTGCTGGTGGGGCAGTGTTTCATATCGGTCTTAGCCTTCCATCAAATGTGCATCGTCCTTTTATTAAGCCGTCTACACAGCTCCTCTCAGAACCATTTGGTAATTATCTGGTTAACTGTGTGGGCTTCAGGCACAAGACTCGGAGTGATTGATCTGGATTCAAACCAATAAACAAACCAAATACACTCTTTGCCCAAACCCTCTTTGTAGTCTGTCTACACGATCCAATTAGCTGGATGGTGGTCAGAGATACAGACCAGGCGTCCAGGACCACAGCTGTCTCAGGCGGTGGGGGTGGGGGTGTGGGGTGGGGGAGGCGCCCAGGCTCTCAGTCCCACCTGGCGGCAGCTCCAGCCGGATACCCCCCGCCCCCCAGGTGGACGGCCCTCTCTCCATTCCCTTCTGGGGAGGTGGACTCAGCCCCGGGGCCCCCCAGGGGGGCGGCAGAGGATGGGGTGGAGGGTGGCAGCCTTCTCCCCTGGCCTGGCTGTAAACTTTGCCTTCGATGGGGTTAGGTTGGAGCTTGCCCCCTCGCCTATCTGCTGGGCCGGTTACTGATTAAATCCTTGCAGAGTCAACAGTGTGCCTGACATGGCCGGTGACAGCGTCAGGCCTGATGCACTGTGTGCAGGAGACTTTGGATCCGGAAGACTCATAAACAAAGAGGGGAACACAAAGGCGACAGTGACCCGCTGGCCGCCCTGGGGGGTGGGCGGGGGTGCTTGCGAGGCGCCTGCCCCTCCCTGGGGTACACATGGCCGCACCTTGCGGGGGAAGGGCCCATCTGCCCAGGCTGTGGCTTGCACACGGCGCCTCCTTGCCGTTTCATGTCCGGACTTCCCAGTCCCCCGCCTCCCTGGGCCTCTCGTGGCTGCTGCCCACGGCGTCGGTGGTAGCCAAAGGCCCGGAGTCCTGCAGAGGCAGGCAGGATTCGGGTCTGAGGTACCAGAATCCATTTTGCTGTTGTCTTGCCTGGGCTGAATTTGATCACCTGCTAGGCATGTTTGTCCGTGGGAAGAGGGCTTTGTCCCTCTGCTTTGTCTCTTCTGCACCAGAGAAGTGCGGATCAGCTGCTAACCTTTTATTCTACCTTTCTTTTTTTAAAAAAAAATAACATGTAGCATGTGGCATATCAGAATTGGGGGAGGTGGTCTAGAATTGGGGGAGCTGGTCTAGTCTGACCAAAGAGGGGTCAGAGCACAGGTTAACAGTGGCCTTCTTTATTCTTAAGCCTCGATTCATTGATGAGACTTGTTTTTAAATTCTCAGCCATTCTGCTGCTGCAACTGAAATGTCTCTGGGCTTTTTGCTGCAAAAGGGAAAAGAGGAGTCCCTTCAGTTTTCGTTGGTTTCTTTGGCCTGATGTTTTCTTCGGGGCCCGACCTTCTGAACTTGGACTCACACTTCCTAAGCACCTACTGGGTATCAAGTGCCAGGTTCGTCCCGATGGTGGTTTCTCTTGGGAGTTAAAATCCATGTCCTCCTGAGTAAGTCCCAGGTCCCATGGGAGCTTACCTGCATGTGCATGCACACGTGTGTTCATTTCTCCACTCCTGTCACTTGCACCTCCTCCTCGGGCCCATCCCGGCCTTTGATTTGTGCGATGCGTTTCGTGGCGTGAGTAAACACAGAGAATTCTTTTTTCTTCTTTCAGTGCCTTTTATCACAAGATTTTGGAGTATATCGAATTTGTTTCCCAGTAACTTGTCTGATTGGAGGCGGGGGGGGGGGGGGGGGGGGGGGGGGGGTGGGGGGGAGGGGCAGAGATAGAAGAGGAGTAGAAAATCTGAATTCTCTGTAAACAGCCCACAGGGTCTGCTCCCCCAGGCTGTAATAAATACGTGTGTTTTCAGGAGGGAGTAGTTTTGGTGCTGCCACTCGCCTGGTGCAATCTGAGGTGCCCTTTCTGGCCACAGGCAAAATTGCGCCGGTCCAGGTTGAAGTGTCAAGCCTGCTGCTCACAACTGGGCTGTGCTACTGAGCCAGCATGGGCTCCGTGCCCACAGGTGGCCATGCCCGGTGTGCCCACTCCTCTGTGCCAACTGGGGTGCCCGCTGACTCACCTGGCAGTGGGGGAGGGCATTTGTGGGGCACCGCATTCAGCCAGGCTTAGGGGGACCCCAGCAGCCAAGTCACCCTGAAAAACCGAAGCTTCCTGAGAGTACCTTTTTGCTGGCTTCAGCTTGGCCTGCGAGCGTGGTACCCACTTGGTAATGTGGTGGAATGCACCTCCAGACATGGTCAAGTTACACCTTAGATGAAAGGCTTAAATGAGATTCAGCAAGGCAGCCTGGCGATTCAGGCATCTCCACTGCAGAGCAGCACAGAAGGGTTTGCTCAGGGTCTGGATGGTAAACTTCCTGGCTGTGTGGCTTTGGGATGGTTGCTTTCCCTCGCT